CGACGAAGTACACTGCTGAGGGGAGCAGCGGGTGGGCCAGGAGAGGTATGCCATGCCATGTGGTCACCTCCAGGGCAGGTGGGAATCGAACTCATGCAGAAGTGGCTTTAACTTCTTAGTGCTGTGCTTTAAGCTGTGCCACCAGGGAGGACCGAGACTGGATTATTTTATTGGAAAGTTTCCTTCCCTGTAAATTAATTGTTCATTAAGACTTGCAAAATTTTTCTCTCTAATTCAGACTGAAAAAAATGTTACTAGGGATGTTAAATGATTATTTCCTTTTTGCTTCTAAATATTGTTTGGCTTCTGGTTGCTTAAAAACATTACTACAGAGCCCTCCCTGGTGGTACAATGGGGTTAAGTCTCAACATTATGAAGCTATCTGAAGCCATTGCAGCATTTCTGTCCCCGGCCAGGGAGTTGACCCACATGGCATGGGTCAGTGGCGCATTATTTTTTTACTGATTTCTGTTCAGCTCTTCCTCCTAATGGCTGAAAGAGCAGAACAAAGACTATATCTCAAAGTGAATATGAATAAAGATTCAAAATAAGCACAGAAATGGGAAAAAGAAAATACTGGTGGAAATGGTCTAGAGTTAACCATAAAACAAATGCAATAAAAGCATAAAGCAAGAAATAGGCTTAGTTTTAAATCAACAACATATAAAAGATAAAATATTTTTAAATTGTTCTTATACAAATAAAAGATTTTTTAATATCACATATTTTCAATTTTATTGACTCATTTTGGAAAACAATTTATAGAAGATTCACTGCATACGGTGTAGCACTCATTTCTTTCATGCCAAGATTATATAGTGTTTAAGGCCATGGGATATATTTGTGTGATAAGTAAGAATGAGACTTTAAAATTAGACACACGTCAATTGGAATACTCTCGTATTCTTCCTACTCAAAGCCTTTGTACCATAAGCCTCAATATCACTTTATAGAAAATAAGAGCTATTGAATAAAAAGCCACATTTTAACAAGAGTCATGGGTGATGGATATGCACATTAATGTTTGAGAAGCTCCGGTACATTCTGCTTATTAATTATGTTTCCCTGGGCAAGTAAAAGCTGCAAAAACCCAGTCTCCTTATTGAAAAATCATGCTAATAATGGTGTCTAGAGCATAGTGGTATTGTAAGAAGTAATTAGATAATGTTATTTAGCAAATTATATGATCTTATTGATATTGAATTTAATCATCTATCTCACATGTGTAAATACATGAGTTTTTCCAATATGTTTATTTATAGTTATACACTGATACCCCATACCTATAAATTAAAATTCCTTTAACCCAGATAGCTCCCTGAAATAAAGCTACAGTAAAAATAAAGTGAATTAATAATTTCTTCATTTATAGTACAATGTAGCATGTGTTCTTCAATAAGCCTCAAAATATTCCTTTTTTAAATAATCTGTCTTCTATTTTCATGGACTCAAAAAAAGCAAAAAAAAAAATGTGTTTGAAAACAAACATTAATGTTTCCACTGGCACAAAAAACTAATTATATGCATCCATTTAGTCATTGTATCTCCTATACTGACATCAGACATTTAAGATATCACTAATCCCACACAGCACTCAAATAATATACCAGGTGTCCTTAGCTTCAATTCAAAATAATTAAGAGAGAGTCTCAAGTGATTCCCATTTAATTGAATTAAGATACATACACATACATACACACACACATCACACACACACACACACACACACACACACACACATCACACACACATGCCCGTATATAGTATTTTATTTTACTATCTTTTCCAAGGAACTCTGATATCCAGACTACCTGCTTTCTACAGCTGAAGGGGAAAAAAATGTAAGCCGATAAAAATCAATTATATGTGGAATCATTTTCAGTCATCATTAACTAACAAAAAAGCACTTTTGTAGAAAGTATCTTATTTTATTAGATATATTTTTAATTATTTATTTATTTATGCTTATAGAACTGGCTTATAGGCCAGAGGTATAGGGAAGATTCACCAGAGACAGAGTGGGGAGCAGAACAGGCAGATCAGCTGAAATGCACTGCTGAGGGGAGCAGCAGGAGGGTCAGGAGAGGTATGCCAGGTCTTGTGGGTCAGCTCCCTGGCTAGGGATGAAACTCTGTGGCTTGGGAGAGCTTTGCAGTGCTGTGCTTTAACCCATTGTGCCACCAGGGAGGGCCCAAGATATACTTTTATAAAGCACATTTCACCTCTCTAAATGCTACTTAAAATGGGTGTCCATACACTCATAATTAAAGATAATAGTGCTTTGGGTCATCCAATCATGACAGCTTATCTTATTATGAATTATGCCTTTTTTTATAAGTTGAAAGTTAAATGTCACAGCTTGTGGCACTATGGCATACCAAATATTCCAAAGGACCTTCCAGTTACACTGCAACATGATTCTAGATACTTCAGAAGCATAATACAAAGGCATGTACTTGCCAAGAATGAAGCCTTCTAAGCACTAAGACACAGAGGGAGAGGGTAAGAGTTGTTCTGGAACAAATACCAAAACTATAATGAGATTTGTAGAATAAAGGAATGAAACTTGATTACTAGCATTCCATCTAACTAAGGACAAGAACTTTACAAAGACTTTTTTTTTTTTTTTTAAGATTTATTATTTATTTATACAGAACCGGGTACAGGCCAGAGATGCAGAGGGTGAGAGGATTCACCAGAGACAGAGCGGGAAGCAGAACAGGCAGATCTACGAACACTGCTGAGGGGAGCAGCAGGTGGGCCAGGAGAGGTCTGCCACACCAAGTGGGTCAGCTCTGGGGCAGGGATCAAACTCAGTATGTCCTTCCAACTCCAGTTAAACATCTCATTGTTTTGCTAGTAAGAGGGGGGTTAGTTTTTCAGACTATCATCTACTACCATCCTCATTTGTCTACAAATAAATGAAATAACCTCCCTTCACTTCAAAATTCAATTCTTCTGACTGAGAGTCAAGAGCAGGAATTTTGGTATCAGTACATTTAGAGAAATATGAACCTATACTCCTCAAACATAAATGCTATTGTAAACTAATGTTACTTCAAACATAAAAGAAAAAAATTCAAAACATGTATGAATGGCATTAAAAAATTACTAAGATATTATGTTTGTACATAGAGAAACAAAATATAATCAATTCTACCCAATTTCATCTGCATCAGTGTAATACCAATGAAATCCCAGTCAAAATTTTCATGTATAATCACATTTCAAATCTAAAATTTACTTGAAATGTGAATTCAAGAATACTTCAGATACATCTAAAAAACAGTATGGTGAGGGAATGGGTCTGCCAGACACTGAGTTTGGTAACTGGAGATTACGAGAAAAGACAAGGTACAAATGGCCCTGGAGAAACTGGCTGGAAAATTTTTACTTTGAGTTGATAGCTTAAAACATCTATTGATATCAGCTATAGATAAATAAATCAGTAGACTAAACATAGGATCTAGCAATATAAAGTAAACAAAAATTCTATTTATAACATCAAGGTAGCAAAGGATTGATAAAAAATGCATACAAAAGGGCCCTCCCTGTTGGCACAGCAGGTTAAAACACAGCACTAAGAAGCTAAAGCTAGTTCTGCATGAGTTCGATCCCCACCTGCCCCAGAGGTGACTCACATGGCCTGGCAGACCTCTCCTGACACCCCCCCTGCTTCCCTCAGCAGTGTACTTCGTCAATCTGCCTGTTCTGCTCCCCACTCTGTCTCTGGTGAATCCTCTCACCACCCCTGCACCTCTGGCCTGTACCTCAGTTCTGTATGCATAAATAAATAAATCTTTTTAAAAAATACGTACAAAAAATATAAAAATATATTTATTTAACTACATTAAAATTAAGAACTTACTTTACCAAATGAAAGTGAAAATGAAAAGATAAGTCACAAACTGGAAAATAATATTTACAGCACATATAAGCTGAGTGAATTATTATCAAATATGTATAACCTAAAAATCAATTTAAAAAATCAAAATATACAAGATGAACAGAACTTTCCCTAAAGGGAGACAAGAGTAGGGACATAAAGCAAGATGTTGGTCATTTGCAATAATCAGAAGTTTATTTCATACCAGTTCAGTTGTCTGTGGTTACAAACCCACACAGTCACTACTGGCTAGAAAATGGACCAAGGAATCTAAGTTCTTATCTTGTGACTCACATCTTTTGAGAAGAGGTCTAAATTGATACAACCACTTCGGAAAACAACCATGACACTTTTGTAAAGCTGACTTTGTGACTACCTAGCAGCATGCATTGACCACACAGATATTCTTGAAAATTCTTATTCATGAAAATTTATCAGCACTATTCAGTGTAGTGTTTACCTGAAAATAATACAAATAATATTTACCAACTGAGAATAAATAAAGTGTCCTCATAACACTTAATTGCAAAAAGAAATGAATCAAGCTAATATAAATAGGTAGGAAAGTCATACAAAAAGTTGTGGATTGAAAAAAAGCAAATGATTTTACTAAAGCTGATAAGTAACCCTAAACTGAAAAAGATGGTACCTATCAAAACATTTATTGGAAGTACAACTAATTTTAAGAGCAACGAAACAATGAATTGAATAACCAGAGTATTGGCTATTCTGTCTGGAAGGCAAGTTGATAGGACAGGAAACTGTTACAAGAGCCATTTTAAGGGTACTGTAAATACTTCTGAGCTTTATGATACATGGTAGATTTACATGTTTTATTACTATGTGTCATAACTTATACATGAATAAACTGATATAAGTATCAATCAAATATACTATGCCTATGTATCAAAATTGCCTTATAATATTAAAAATTAATAATAGAAATAACTTTATTACTCTGGGTTCACAATGAATCCGTATCTCATCTTTATAAACAGATCAGATGAAAAGGTTTGAAGGTAAAGAAGACACACAAATGAAAACCTCCAAATAAAGCAGGAAAGTAAATAGTAAGTAATTGGAAATAAAATGAGCAGATTCAATTTAAACTCACCACCAAGGCTTTAGATCGGTTGCTTAGAAGTTTCTCAATATCCCTGGCTGCAATTTCCACCAACTGGCGTGCATTATTTGGTTCCACAGTATACAAATCTTGGTATTTCTCATAAATCTGTGCAAAGGGAAAGGAAAATTAATAACACATTTATTGCTAATTTGGCTTCTAAATTCAAATTGAAATGCTCTGAAAACTATGGACAATTGATTAGAAAAAGACTCTCTTCTCCTATCTCCTATCCTGATTATTTTGCTGTTTAGATGTGTCAAAAATATATACTAACTTGCCATAAGATCAGCAGCTTACAAAATAGCATATCATGTTAAGAGACTGTAAAATATCTTGAACCACCAAAATTTTATATGCAACTTTGTGGTTTGATGCAAAACCATAAACATGTTAAAGAAAAAGAAAGGACTGTCTAGAAATGGAGAACTGAACTATGGGAGATCAAAGATATGTGCAATGATAAGAGCAAGGTAAGAAGAATGTGATAATGTGCTTCTCCCTGTTTTCCTTCCCCACAGCATCTGAGGTTAAAGTATATATATATATCAAATTATATTTCTTTAAATCAATGAATTAAACTATTAAAAAGAGGCTAGGCAGCACAAACACAACTCAACTAAAGTTCTGGCTCCTATCAGCATCTATGGAAGGATTTCCCTAGAGAAGCAGAAGAACACTTAGTTTATAGAGCTTGCACGCTCCTGGCAGGAGAAGAACTAAAGAAAAGGGCAGAATGTGAGCATGTTTGTGGCTGGGGGACTGAGCTGAGAAGGAAACCCCTTATGCATCCACCAGATGGGTTGCACGTGCATGACTAAACCGTCTTTGAAAGCCAGAGCCTGGCAGGATTTTACCATCGTATGGGAAGTGAATCCAGGCACACGCAGGAACCAGCTCAACCCTGTCTTTTTCTGGCACAACTCAGAATTCAGCATTATTACCAACAAGTTCCACAGCCTAGCCCCCGCTGAGCACCAAAGCCACAGCGAATGCTGCTTTCCGAGGGACACGAACACACGTGCTAACCTCCAAACACAACGTGTTAGCTTAACATGGAGTCATAATTTTTTTCTTAAGTAGTTAAAAAGTAACCAAGATTTAAATACAATTTTTACTTCCCAAAATGTTTGACATCCAAACTGTGACGTTTTTCCCATTCAAAACTTTTTGTATTTTGGTTTTCATCCCAAATTTTCAATGGAAAAATTTCAATTTTTTTAAAATTCAAGGCACATTGATTTAGTCATATAAAATCTCCATATTTTGTTTCATTCGAAATATTTGCATAAATCTGGGTTGCTTATCTTTCTGCTGACGACAGATTATTGAATTCCATTTTGTTTTTAAGATTGACTGATTGATTGATTTAGAACTAGGGTTCAGGCCAGAGGTGCAGGGAAGATGAAAGGATTCACTAGAGTCAGAGTGGGAGCAGAACAGGCCAACTGACGAAGTACACTGCTGAGGGGAGCAGCAGGTGGGTCAGAAGAGGTCTGCCACGCCATGTGGGTTATCTCCAGGGTGGGGGTCAAACTCATGTTTAAGTGGCTTTAAGCTTCTTAGTGCTGTGCTTCAACCCACTGTGTCAGCAGGGAGGGCCCCAAATTCCATTTTAAAAGCACAGGTTAACTACGAAAAATGCCATCCAATCTGAAACTCTGTTTCATTTCAGCCCAATATGACATCCAGCAACATGAACTCCTAAATAGGCTGATTGACTTGGGGTACAAGTAGATCCACCTCAACATCACCTTCATTGATTCAGTATATTTAGTGTGCCGTGGTAAAGACAATATAACTAATATGTGTGAAAGACAGTTGTGCTTTGTACCATTTATATCTTGCTAATTTCTGTCTGAAGTCTAGTCTGCTTCCTGTGGTACAGAGACTACAGTGGAATTCAGAGGTGGTGGAGATTTGTTCAGGATGCACAAATTGCACTTTACATTATATGCCACAGAAGTAACCATAATTATAATTGTGTTGCACTGTGGGTAGTTTAAAGAATGAATATATTATAAATAAAAGAAATTTAATTCAATTAAATAATTTTTCCTCAAATATATTCTCCGCTTAGAATATAATAAAAAGACTTAGTTTAAATAATTGAAGTCAAGGAAGAATGAGTCTAAAGACCCAATGTAAGCATCCTACTGTATTTATGTATGAAACCATACATGAAATATTTTTTTTTTGGTAATAAAAAATTAAAACTATAATTTTCCCACAAAAACAAAAACTTACCTCTTGCTGGCTTTTACGGAATTCAACATACTTTGCTGTTGCCTAAAATATGGCAAAGTGTTCTCAAAGCCTCAGATCTGTTCAAAAAACTGTTTAGAAAACAGCTCTGAGAGTAGAAATTTCACATGGAGTTTTATGAATTTTATGTTCATAATATATCTATATTTACAACCCTACTGTTGAAAGAAATCACATTTCTACAATTAACATGTTAACATGAGACTACTTTAAACAGATTCTTAAGTATCTTTTCCGCATCCTGATTTTCCCTCTCCTTTTAGAAAAAAAAATAATCTTTTTTTTTTTAATTTACTTTTGTAAAAGTTATTTATGCATATAAGAACTGGAGTACAGGCCAGCAATGCAGGGGGTGAGAAGATTCACCATTGACAGAGAGGGGAACAGAACAGGGGACTGACTGAAATCTACTGCTGAGGAGAGCAGCAGGAGAGACAGGAGAGGTCATGTGGGTCACTTCACTGGCTGGGAATAAACTCATGGTACAGTGGCTACAAATAGCTTCATAGTGCTGTGCTTTAACCCCCTGCACCAGCAGGGAGTGCCCAAAAAATAATTATCTTTGGTACCATCGTATCCATTATCTTTCCTCAAAGAAAAGCAACAAGATGGGAATGACACTAGTTTTGGCACCAGATGAAGATGTCCATTCAAATCATAAGTCAACTCCTCATATGCTATGCCGTATTTGTCTCCTTTTCTCTTCCTAGAAAGAATGCAGCAAAGAGAATTCAAGTTAAAATGCTTTCTTCCTGAGTGAAACATCAATATGCTTTAACTTTTCTGGTGTTCAAGTCTCCTCACTGCCATCCTTGACAGTTCTGAAGAGAAAATACTTGTCACATGGGCATTCTTCCTTGCTCACAACCTCAGGTGAATGACTTTAGTGTGTTTACATTGCTATAGTCACAGGACAAGTTTTGCTGTGATGATAAAACAGATTAGGGTTTCCCTGCCTCTCTCTCTGAAAAGTTCTAAATCTCTTGCCTCTAATTAATTACACAGATTAAAGATAATCCTTAAGACTAATACACTGTTATATATCCTTAAATTTTGATATCTGAAAAGTAACACTAACTCATAACTGCAGAATAACTATAACATTAGACCTAAGATAGTATAGATACCTGCAGAGATGGCTACAGAAAGAAATAGAGGGTTCCAAGTTTTAGACAACCAGAAGATTCTATTAACAACCATTTTTAAACAGCTATTTTATACCAGCCTTAAGTGTTCCATATATTATTTACTTACTTAAGAAATCCAAAGAAACATAATTTATTAATCAATGTGTTAATACTGGAGAACATTGGGATTCAGGTTTTAAAGCATCGGGTGGAAAGCCTATGAGTCCCATTCACCTCATAAAGTAGCAGGTACTGCCCAGAGCAGCAAAAGGGATACAGTAATATAGGGAGTCTGCACTGCTAGTCTGCCTCGTGGCTTCATCGGGATGTGGGAATATAGGACACATGTGGGGTGAGCAAGAAAGGAACCTGGGAATTAAGGATCAGCATTTACTAGGGTACCTGGCTCAGTGATAGATCAAGGGACTCCAGAAAGAGGATCTTGGTGAATGACAGTGATAAATGGACACTAAGAAGAAGTCCAGCTGAAGGATGATGGTAAAAACCACCAAGGATTGAGGGTGCAAGATAAAGAAATTGGCCAAATTCTTAGAAACAATTACATTCATGACCTATGCCAAGAGAGCAAATACACTAACCAAATAAACAAATGTTTCCCCTTACACCCAGAAGCCATGAAGCAAAGAACATTCAACAATATTGACATTAGTAATCGACCACAAAAAGGTTGAAGGACACTCACATTAAAATTGGGGAAACTTGGCCCTCCCTGGTGGCGCAGTGGGTTAAAGCACAGCACTGAGAATCTGAAGCCGCTTCCGCATGAGTTCGATTCCCGCCTGCCCCGGAGGTGACCACATGGCGTGGCAGACCTCTCCTGACCCGCCCGCTGCTCCCCTCAGCAGTGTACTTCGTAGATCTGCCTATTGTGTTCCCCGCTCTGTCTTTGGTGAAGCCTCTCGCCACCCCTGAGCCTCTGGCCTGTACCCCAGTTCTGTATGAACAAATAAATAAATCTTTAAAAAAAAAAAAATTGGGGAAACCAATTTTTTCCCTTTTAAGAGACAACATCATCAAAAAAGAGAGAGAGAGAGATAACATCAGCTCACAATTTACTTTATTTTACTAAAGAGGAATTTGAATTTCCACATATTAAAATTTACGCATTAAAAATCTGACAACTACTTCCTTCAAGAAATATATTTACATCTCACCCCAGGAATTTATCCTAGACAAGGAAATAAGCTCTGTCTAATCCACAGCCATCTTTCTGAAGGAAGTTCCACCTTTGACAGTTCTTGATGAAAGAAGAATCGTAAGTTTACTTGCACGTAAGTGGCAGTATTCTGATATGTCACCTTGTCTTTGGCCCCGACCAAATGTACCAAATTAGACCAGACCTAGAATCAGTTAACATCTGAATTAGTGATGTGTAAGATGCCAGGTACAAAAGAGCTACCTAAACAATGATAGTACTTTGAAACAATAATATTCTTTCACTGCAAGATGACAGTTGGCTAGTCTTGGGCAGAAGTAGCAACAGAAGTGAAAAGACTACAGGGAGAAAAACAGTAGTGAGTGAGAGAGGTGATGGCTGTGGTAGGCAGGATAATGGTCTCCCCAAATCCCACATCCTAATCCCCACAATCTGTGAGTATGTTGTTACATGGCAAAGGGGAATTGAGTCTGCAGGCAGAATTAAGTTTTGCTAATCAGCTGAACTTAAAATCAGGAGATTATCCTGGATTGTTTGAT